GTCGACGGAGCAGTTGCCGCCGATGCGAATCCCTGGGGCAAACGCGCTCGGGTAGATATCGCGAAGCTATGCATTGCCTCGGGGCGAGAGGACCTTCTGGACATCGCAGAGGGAAAGATCTCTGCATTTTTCTCCGACCCTGAAGTCAGCGAGGCGTTCTGCAAGCTTGATCCAGGTATTCTTCGAATTGGGTCCGAAGTGGTGGGTCTCAGAGGCTCCTACGGCCAGCTTGTCGACTTGGGGTTCCCCTAAGGGGTGCAAGAAGAAACGGCGTTCAAGTGCATGTTCCACACTGGCGGTGCATGTTGCGGGGGGGCTCCCACTACTAAGAAGAAGCTGTATGCGCATATTTGAGCGGGCCATGGTGTTCGTAGTCTTAGCAGTGTGTTAACGCATACGAAGCAATGTCCTGGCTTCCTGGAGATATGCATGTCCAAGACCCTGGCACATAATCATCTAGCAAATAGTTTCAAGAGGGGATACTGTTGGAAAGAAAGTGCTACTGCTCTACCACAGGTTCGTGAACCTAGACATTACAAATGTCTTGTATGCGAATTCGAAGGAGGGTCTCTGAACGGGCCCCAGGTCCATGTCCGCGCCCATTTTCCTCAGCGATTGGGAATTTGGAGTTCTGCATTGGGGGAGTTTGTATCCCAGAAGTTCGCAGATGGAGAACCGCCCTGCATGGGTGGGCAAACGCACGGCGGGCTCGGCCGAGACGAGCGACCAGAAGAGGCATGCGGGCAGCAGCCGCGGAGGCGAAGGCGCAGTAGGAGAGTCGAAGCGGTCCTCGCTCGACGCACTGACGGAGATCACCGCCAAGATCGCGCTGCCCTACGAGGCAGAGACGAGGGCCATCTTCGCCACCGTGCTGACGCCCGCGGAGGCCGCCATCGTCGTGGGCCTACTCGAAGCAGGCGTGGGGGACAGCCAGCAGGCGCAGGACTGGGCCAAGGCGAAGAAGGAGGCGCTCTCCAATGGAGAAGACCCGCCACAGAATTCGCAAGGGCCGCCCTCCCTGGTGCTGTACGCAGCCTTGGTGGAGCTGTTGGTCAAGACAGAGGGGAGCCGCGCCGCGGCGACCCAGATTCCACTCGGCGAGGCACATGCGAAGATGAAGAAGTACTACAACGAGGTGCTGTGCCTGGAGGACGGCATGCTGAAGGTTCCCCTGGAAGTGCGCTACCTGCTCTGCAAGCGCGCGAAGAAGATCGAGGGGAAGCCAGAGGTCGCGAAGATGACGTACCTGTCCCAGCCGACGGAGTTCGGCCTCGTAGTCCAGCGCCTGTTCGAGTCAGAGCTCGCGAAGGCCGCGGGGAAGCCGTCCCTGGGCAGTGCTCCGAGGGGGGCGCTCGAGCGAGAGGGGCAGGCGCTGCTCGATCGGCTGAGGAAGAAGTGATGAAGGGTAGCAGCAGATTCAGGGAGCTTTTTTGGCAGGAAGACTTTCGGGTCCTGCGCTCGAGATCGCCTCCAGGCTTTGCGGTCCTCCTCTTGAGCCTCCGCCCTCCTCGGCGATCGGAACTAGCTCGGGGGCCCCCATCGAAGCTGTGGATAGGTGGGGCGGGCCCCTGATCGAAATCCCCCGCGCTCCTCGATCGAAGGGTAGAGGTCGCGGAAGGAAGGGGCGCCAGCTCTAATTTTTTGGTGGCGCCAGGGGGGGCGGCCTCAGGCCGCGTGCCGACTCGGCATGCTCCCCGCGGACAGCGTGCCGCCAGGGACCCTGGCCACTCACGAATACGGGCGTTCAAGATGCCACGCTGGAGCTTTACATTGCAATTTCTGGGGTTCAGAGTAGTGCTGCGCATGTGTTTGTATTGTGTCGTTGCTAGTTCCATAGCTCGTCGACAGGAGCTCCCATAGCGTTCATGCTCATGCTCATGCTCTTCCTCCTCCTCCTCCTCCTCCTTCCTCCGTTCCCTCCTCAATTGCGGTTGCCTCTTCTGTCTGACTGGGGTGTGTCGGGTCCGCAGCCCAATACTTGCTTGTCTGTGTTTCTCCTCCTGTTTTCCGCTTCTCTGCCTTCCCCGCGGCGGGAAAAGAGCCACGTTTTGTTGGGAGAGTGTTCTCCTAAGCAGTGGCGGAAAATCGTCCGCGCACCGAGTCCGTGACAGTTGTTTGTGCCCCTGTAGTCCTGGCTGGATTTGTCCGCCGGTGGCGTTGAAGCCAGCTGACGGCGAGTGGCTTCTGGCTGGTGTTTCGCGTGTTCCCTGATCCCCCCCAGAAAAAAACATCCGGCGGGAGCCGTTGTTGTTGTAATCATCGGGGGCCAGGGGCGCAGTTTGACGCTCCAGACTTTCTGTGATGAAAGAACAGGATGCGAGCCCAGGCAATGAACACTTCAATTGAAAAATGCACTGTGCACCAGGCGGGGGGGTGCAAACACAATTATTGTGTCAGAGGTCGGCATTCAACAACAACAGCAACCACTACTACTAACACTAAAGCTAAACTCGCACAGTAACGACACCAACAACATAACAGCAACACCAAGAACAGCAAT